TGTCCAGGTCTTGTTGCATTTGAACATGAACTGCTTCAGTATCCGAGAAGTCGCGAATGGTGCTGAACATTGAGCAATCATCAGCGAACATTTCCATTTCTGACATTATGATGGAGGGAAGGTCATTGTTGAAGCAGCTGAAGATGGTTGAACCTAGGACATTACCCTGGGGTACTCCTGCAGAGCTGAGATGACAGACCTCCAACAACCACAACCATCTTCCTATTTGCCAGGTATGACTCCAACCAGCAGAGAGTTTGCCCCCTCATACCCATTGATTCCAGTTTTGCTAGGGCTTCTTGATGCCACACTTGATCAAATGTGGTCTTGATGTCAAGGGCTGTCACCCTCAACTCACCTCTGGAATTCATCAATATATTTGAAACCAGGTTGTAATTAGGTGAAGAGTTGACTGGCCTGGTGGAACCCAAACTGGGTGTCACTGAGCAGGTCATTGCTGAGCAGGTGGTGCTTGATTGCACTGTTGATGACACCTTCCATCACTTTATTGACGATTGAGAGTAGACGGAGTGGCAGTAATTGGCTGTGTTAGATTTACGTTCCTTTTTATGTACAGGACATACCTGGACAAATATTCCACATTGTCGGGTAGACACCAGTGTTATAACTGTACTGGAACAGCTTGGCTAGGGGAGCGGCAAGTTCTGGAGCACAAGTCTTCAGTACTATTGCCGGAATGTTGTCAGGGCCCGTAGCCTTTGCAGTATCCAATGTCTCCAATCGTTTCTCGATATTGTGTGAATTGAATTGAATTGGCTGAAGACTGGTATCTGTAATGCTGGGGACCACTGGAGGAGGCCGAGATGGATCGTCCACTTGGCATTTCTGTCTGAAGATTGCTGCGAATGTTTCAGCCTTATCTTTTGCACTGATGTGCTGGGCTCTTCCATTATTGAGGATGGGGATATTTGTGGAGCCTCCTCCTCCATTGAGTTGTCCAGCTGTCCACCACCATTCACGACTGGATGTGGCAGGACTGCAGAGCTTAGATCTGATCCGTTAGTTGTGGGATCGCTTAGCTCTTTCGATCACTTGCTGCTTTCGTCGTTTGGCGTACAAGTAGTCCTGTTTGGTGGCTTCACCAGGTTGATACCTCATCTTCAGATATGCCTGGTGCTGCTCCTAGCATGCCCTCCTACACTCTTCATTGAACCAGGGTTGATCGCCTGGCTTGATGGTAATGGTTGAGTGGGGGATATGCCGGGCCATGAGGTTACAGATTGTGCTGGTATACAATTCTGCTATTGTTGATGGCCCACAGCACCTCATGGATGCCCAGTCTTGAGTTGCTAGATCTGTGCGAAGTCTGTCTCATTTAGCACGGTGATAGTGCCACACAACACGATGGAAGTTGTTCTCAATGTGAAGACAGGACTTGGTCTCCACAAGGACTGTGCAATGGTCACTCTTACCGATACTGTCATGGACAGATGCAACTGCAGCTGGCAGATTAGTGAGGATGAGGTCAAGTATGTTTTTCCCTCTTGTTGGTTCCCTCACCAGCTGCCGCAGACCCAGTCTAGCAGCTATGTCCTTTAGGATCCAACCAGCTCGATCAGTAGTACTGCTGCCGAGCCACCCTTGGTGGTGGACATTGAAATCCCCCACCCAGAGTACACTTTGTGCCCTTGCCATCCTCAGTGCTTCCTGTAAGTGTTGTTCAACATGGAGGATTACTGATTCATCAGCTGAGGGAGGACAGTATGTGGTAATCAGCAGGAGGTTCCTTGTCCATGTTTAACCTGAAGGCATGAGACTTCATGGAGTCTGAAGTCAATGTTGAGGACTCCTAGAACAACACCCTCCCAACTGTATACCACTGTGCTGCCCCCTCTGCTGGGTCTGTCCTGCTGGTGAGACAGGACATATCCAGGGATGGTGATGGTGGTGTCTGGGACACCAGATATGATTCTGTGAGTTGCTTAACTTGTCTGTGAGACAGCTCTCCCAATTTTGGCACTAACCCCCAGATGTTAGTGAGGAGGACTTGGCATGGTCAACAGGGCTGTATCTGCCGTTGTCTTTTCTGGCGCCTAGGTTGATGCCAGGTGGTCTGTCCAGTTTTATTCCTTTTGATGCTTTGTAGCAATTTGTACAACTGAGTGGCTTGCTAGGCCATTTCAGAGGGCAGTTGAGAGTCAACTACATTGCTGTGGGTCTGGAGTCACACGTAGTCCAGACCAGGTGAGGGTAGCAGATTTCCTCCCCTGAAGGACATTAGTGAACCAGATGGGTTTTTCCGACAATCGGCAATGATTCGTGGTGATCAGTAGATTCTCAATTCCAGACTTTTTTTGAATTCCAATTCTACCATCGGCCGTGGTGGGATTCGAATCTGGGTGCCCAGAACATCAATGTTGTCCAGTGGCTCACTGTAGATCTTGATAGTCAGTGGGAGCAGCCTTGTAGAGGATCGTTGTCTTCCAGACATTTAGCCAGAGACCCATGCTCTGATATGCCTTGTGAATGCATTGCCAATAGTTTGGAACTTGGCTTCCGAATGTGCATAATCGTAAACATTATTTGCATATTGCATTTCAACAACAGAGGTTGGGTTGGAGATAACACAGTGTGGAGCTGGAGGAACACAGCAGGTCAGGCAGCATCAGAGGAGCAGGTAATTTGACATTTCGGGTCGGGTCCCTTCTTCAGACCCTTTTTCTGAAGATAGGTCCTGACCTGAAATATCAACTTGCCTGCTCCTCTAATGCTGCCTGGCCTGCTGTGTTCCTCCAGCTCTAAACAGTGTTATCTTTGATTCTAGCATCCGCAGTTCTTGCTATCTCTGAGAGGTTAGGTTGGACTTGGGTTTGGATTGGAGGAGATGCCAATTAGCTCTATAACAACAGGACACTTCATGGATATGGGGTGGACTGTTGTGACAAGATGTAGAAGAGCTTTGGTGTAATGACATAATCTTGCTAGGACCTCAGTTTGCACATGTATTGGGCCTATTATTGGTTTGTCGGTGAAGATTTGTCCTACAGCAAGTGAAGAATGGAGATCAGTTTCTGTGGGCAATCAGATTAAAGGAGCAGAACGCTACATAGTTCCACTTAGAGTTGAAGGCAAAGAAGGCCATGTATAGATGTTCCTTCTGCTCTGTTCTTTTCTTGAATTTGTCTTACTGTGAAAATTGGTTTGCTTCACAGTCTGCTCATGACATTTAGTTAGATGGCACAATAAGTAGCGTAGATGGAGACAAAAGGTTGCAAAGACATAACAATGGATTAAGTCAGTGGGCAAAACTGTCAAGATGTGAGTTCATTTGCTGTGGGTTCAAAAAAGATTGATCTGTATTTTTTTTTCAAAATGGCACAAATGTAGGAACTGCAGTTGAGAAGATAATTATATGTCCAAGTATAGAAATCACAAAGCTAGTGGATAGATACAAAAGACATATTAAATGTTGGCTCAAGTCTCGAGGACTGGTACACACAGCGGTGGATGTTAGGTTACATCTGTATGGAGTGATACTTAGATCATTTATACAGTCATACAGCACAGAAACAGACTTTTTGGTCCAACTAGTCAATGCCGAACATAATCCCAAACTAAACTAGTCCCTCCTGCCTGCTCCTGGCCCATATTCCTCCAAACTTTTCCTATTCATGTACTTATCCAAATGTCTTTTAAATGTCTTAATTCTATCCATATTCACCGCTTCCTCAGGAAGTTCATTCCATACACGAACCACCTTTTGTGTAAAAAAAAATTGCCCATCATGTCCCAGCCTATCCAGCCTTTCTAGCCTTTCTTTATAACTCCAACATTCCATACCTGGCAACATCCTGGTAAATCTAATCTGACCCCTCTCCACTGTCCCCATCAGACAGTCCAGGGACAGAGACAGCACCGGGTGACACAGAGCAAAGCTCACTCTGCTCTTCCGAAACAGAAAATAAAACTGTTGTGACTTTGTTAAACAAAAATAAAGATGCTATTACTCTGGGGAAAAGCAAAAACAAATAAAACAAGCAAAAATTGGCTCTACCTTGACCATGTCCTCACCAACCTCCTTCGGGCAGGGACCACGAGAAGCCAAAATAAAAATAAACTCAAGCAAAATAAAAAACTCAACTAAATAAATAAATCCCCTATGCTTCATCCCTGTTGAACATTCCAGGAACAGGGACAATGATGGTTTAAAACTCAGAGGAAATTCCCCTGCAAAAGCAACCCTCCACCACCACTCTGTCTCCTGCCATTAAGCCAATTATGTATCCAACTAGCAAGTTCACCCTGAATCCCATGTGACCCAACTTTACTAATTAGTCTGCCACGTGGAACCTTGTAGAAGGCTTTACCAAAGTACAAGAGTCTCTGTCCCTGGAGTGTCTGATGGGGGCAGTTTCAGAGATCTTGGTTTTTTCTGTTTGCACCTTTTGTTTAAAAGAGTGGAGTGTTGTTTTTTGAACTGAAGGTCTGTCACCAGAGATGTTCCACAGGGATCAGTTCTGGGTCCTCTTTTGTTTGTCA